CCTTCCTCCTTCCTTCCTTCCTTCCTTCCTTCCTTCCTTCCTTCCTTCCTTCCTTCCTCCTTCCTTCCTTCAATTCAAAATTAGTTTTACTGTGAATTACAGCCTTACAAATTCAATTCTTACTTCAACATAGAAAAATGGATCTATATTAAATTTGGAAATGGAGTGAAGTTTTGTTTCAGAACGGTTGCAAGGGAGACTCTGAGCATAGCTTAGTGATCTTTTCTTTTAGATTCTTCCCCATCTTTGAAACCTTTGCAAGAGTTCCTGAGTTCAAGAGGAGATTGCTGATGGCCTGCCCCTCTCTCTTCTGCCCCAAACCCTGCTCCTGGGGCAACTAGTAATCTGTGAAAATCTGGGGATGTCAGCAAGTTGAGTGTCTCTGAAGAGGTTAACCCAAGTAAGAAATGTCAGCCAGCTGCATAAGCAACTTTGAACGTGACGGAGCGCTGAAAACATTGGAAGTAGAGCAAGGGAGAGTGGGCCAATCATTCACCTGTACGGAGAGGCCGTCCCCCAGGAGAAATAATCGGTGGGTCTTGGAGCAGGACGAGGTACGATGGGCTGCTCCACAGCAGTCACGTCTCCTGAGTAGGATTTGAGGAGGGAAGCGTTTTTATTGGCCAGCATGGCTCTCTCGTTCCTACGGAATTTGGCTCTTCGGTTCTGAAACCACACCTGGAAGATGGTTGGGAGGAGAGGAGGGCATAGAAGGGGGAGGAAGAAAAAGAAGAGGAGGTTACACCAATGAAGTCCTGGTTGATTCTACTAGACTATGCCTTCCAAAGGAAGATGTAGGGGAGGTATGGACTTCTCCCGAGAACAATAGAAACATGCCATAATCTTCCGGAGGTGAGCCATGTCACAGAGCTCTTAAGGGTGAAGACTTATAATGGGACCCTGAGGTACTTCCACTAATCAAGACTCCAGAATTGAGACCATGACTAACTCATGAGATAGCAAAATATGGTTATAATCCCTGTTGTAATTATAATCAAGAGAAAAAAGAAAATCTCATTAGACGTCTGCCAGAGACAATGATATTTTTTAAGTTCCTTCAAAACGTAAAAACTTCCTCTGCTTTCATAATACGTATTGGCTACGTAAAGAAAATTCACCTTCCCCCAAAGTGGGCCCTGCCACACACTTTAAGAAGGAAATGGTTTATTTGGGAAATGCAGGGAATAGCAGTTGAAGAGTGAAGATATAGCAGAGAAGAACAGCCATGGAACAGTGTGTCCAGCCCCGTGGGACAGAAGGGACTAACCCAGGACACAGACTCCCACTGAGGGACACAGACTGCCACTGAGGGTTGAGGGAGCTGAAGATTCCTACACCGTCATTATTGATTATTAATGTTCCAGCGCCTCTGACATGCTGAACACAGGCAGGGCAGCTTCCTGAACTTCTAGAGAGAAACTTGTAAACGGAAATGAAGGTACTGAAGTTTGGAAGTTGAATGGAGTACATTCAATTGTAGGGTTAGAGGGAGATGGCTGGTGCTGACAGCATCATAATCAACCCATCATTTATTAAGTGCTACCAGGGCTAGGAACTTATAGAAGCACATTGCATACATCGTTTCTAGTTATCATGACAACTCCATATATTAGGCTTTATTATTTCTATTTCAGAGTTGAGGAAATAGGTTCAATGAGATGAAGCCATCTGTCGAAGTTCACACAAATAATAAATGGCTGAATTTTTTAACTCAAGGACATCTGACTCATGATCCTACAACTCTCCGGATGGCCATGGGATTTTATTCATTCATTTACTCATTCAAGAGATCTTTATGGAGTGCCTGTTGTGTTGCAGACTCTGTGCTTAATGCTGGGAACAGAGATGAGGCTTAAGCAGCACACAGTCTATTAAAAGAAGGCAGACATGGAAATTTGAAAACTACAGAATAAGAGTTTTAGATGCAATTATAGAAATGCATGACAAGGTATGGGAGAAAGAAATTCTATGGTGTAGAATGGAACATTTGCAAAACTCTAGGGAGCAACCTTCACAGAAACTACTGTGGGTCGGGTGCCCGGTGGAAGGCCAAGGTGGAAGTCAAGGCAGAATCTGGACACATCTTTCCTGGCTCCGCAGACTCCTAGCTCTTTTGCTTCAATGTGCCCTTCACATTGCTAATAGAGCTATCATTTTAAATGCACATATAATTGTACTAATGCCCTGCTGTGTACCACCCACTGGTTCCCCATCACTTGAGGAATCAAATCAAAATGCCATAGCATAGAACAAAGACTGTTCGGGAATGACCTCTTTGTCCACCAATCTGACTGCACCCTACACAGCTTGGATCATATGCACTGGCCCCCTATTTTTCCAACTCCTTGCCCAGACTCAAGTCTATTGACATATTCAGTTATTTCCCACCTATGTCTATTCACACCCAATGCTCCCTCTGCCTATGACATTCTTCCCCTTTGTCCAGGTGTCAAAAGACATCTTTCAAGATTCGACTTTCACATCACCTCCTTTGTGAAATGTCATGGAAAGAATATGACTTTAATGTCTTACAGAGTTGGATAAAATATTGGCTACAAAATGTTAAAGATCTGTCCTTGGATATTTATTTAATTTCTCTGATCCTTTGTCACTCAATCAAATGAGCATAATGATACCTACTCAGAGGGTCATTGTGACAGTTGGCACAGTTTCAGTACTGAATATATGTGAATTCTCTCTCCTTTTTTCCCTGGTAGATTTGATCATTCCTTCCTCTGTTCTATCATTAATTCTTTTGTTTTGTTGCTTTTTTAACCACAATTTTTAAAATATATATTTATTGATTTTTTAGAGGCAGGGAGGAAGGGAGAAGGAGAGAAACATTGATGTGAGAGCAGAACATTGATTACCTAGGGAGAAGGAGAGAGAGAAACATTGATGTGAGAGCGGAACATTGATTACTTCCTACATGCCCCCTACTGGGAATCCAGCCTGCAACCTGGGCATGTGCCCTGACCAGGAATCAAACCAGCAATCTTTGGATGATGCTCAACCAACTGAGCCACATAGCTAGGGCTTAATCCCTAATTCTTGAACATTTCTTTAGTATGGGAATTATCTTACGACATCATAACAGTATGGTATACACATCTGTTTTGTCTGCCCCCAGTTCGTGATATCCTGAAGGGAGGCCATTGTCTTAGTCATTCCCGGAAACCCAAAAACAGTTCCAAGAGCATAATAGGTGTTTGATAAATGTTTGAGGGGAGGAAAAAGTAGAAGAAAAAAATATGAATTGTGCAAAGATGATAAGATATGGCTTCCATCCAAGAAAACTTCACAGTCTAGTGGGGGAAGTTGGCTCACATACAACTCAATATAATACATGTCATGTTGTGATACATGCTGTACTTATAAAGAAGACCAGAGTCAGAAGGGCGTGGTTCAGAGGGAAGGGGTAAGACTTCCTGGAGGAAGAATAAAGTCGAGGAGGGAGAATTCTGGCCTGCTGGCACAGGGAATGTTCACAGCTCCAAAAGCCATTAGAATATAGTCGGGTGAGAGAGGAAGAAGATAAGGTAGTTTCTGCATAGAAGAAAGACATTTAATTATGGTTTTGATGGGGCAACAGACCTCTCAACCCAAAAATTGTCTTTTCACTTTTTCCCCCTCCTATTTCCAGCATTGCTCTGACCAGGTTTCTTTATATAAAATTGAGATCAGCGCCGTAAAAGTGGCACTTTCCGATACTGTGGGTTAAGCAGTCTTCACGGACGTGATCTGAGAGGGGAGGACTAGGCTTACCTGCACTCTGGCTTCAGTGAGGTTCACCCGGCGGGCGAGGTCTTCTCGCACAAAAGCATCGGGGTAGTGGGTCCGCTCAAAGACGCGCTCCAGAGCCTGCAGCTGGCTGCTGTTGAAGGTGGTCCGGTTCCTCCGCTGCTTTCTCTTTTTCTTTTCCTCTGAGTTCAGCTGATCATCTGGAATGGAAGACATTGATGATAAGAAGCGAAAGTCATGTTGAGGAGGGATGGGGTCCCCCCTTTATACTTCTTCTCTGTGTATCTACAGTGAGATATTGTTTCCTTTGCTCACTGCTTTACCAGGGTGCTGGAGCCAAATGCCACCCATAGGTGCTCATTAACATCCTGTGCCCAGAACCCCAGCAGGTCTGATGCTTGGTTGCTGCTTTGAAATCTGAGACCAGACCTGAGCTGTCACAGGGATACTTCTTGCATGTTCCGTGAAGCCTGTTTGTCAAAGAGGCTAAAGGAAAATTTTACTGTTGTCCATGTTCTCTAGACTTCTCTAGAGCTGGGGGAGGAAGAGTAGATGGCTTTGGACCTTATTTATATTAGACAATATTGTGTTCATTCAGATAGTTTCACAACCAAGGAGACCAGCGATCCCCTTGGTCTCTCTCCTCAACATACCCACCTAATCACACATGCAGTAAACTGATTAGAGAGGTTTCTGTTTTACCGTATGTTCTCCTAGAAACAGCCAGTGATTCCTAATTGCATTTGCTCAAGGCTCTGTGTCGTTGCTAAGGCCTCAGCCTAGAGCAGAACTAATGCTCACAGCACCGTCCACCTAAGCTGACAGTGGCCCGGGACTTGCCCTGTCACCCTGTGATAACTCAAGAACAGGGAACAGCACGAAAAGATCTCTTACAGTTTCACCCCCAAATTGAGGTCTAGGGTCTGAAGACCTTACGGTCCTTTGGGGAAACATGACCCCAAGTTTTCACTGTTCAATTCCCTCCTTGGTTTCCTCTGAGTTCCCCCAAAAGTATACTGGCAAGCTGATCACCCAGCCGTCTACAGTAGGCAGAGAGTCGTGTGCTCCTGTCTTGCCGCCACTGCTCAGCCCAGGAATGATGGATGTGTGTACTGAATGGAAAACCAGCTGTGCTAACACCCCATCGAGCCGTCACCCGAGGCCCACGCCACTGCCAAGTCTGTGTGGCAGAGATCTACAGCATGAGCTGCTGAGGTCGAAGTCCCATGCCTGGCCTGATGAACTGGACATCCACATCCAAAAGCTCTCTGTCCCCAAAGAGATTGGCCCAAAGAGAATTATGAGGGTAAGAGAGGATGGAGAGAGAGGAGAGCTTGGCTACTTGCTTCACATTCCACAGGAAGGAGCTCTTAACTATTTTTCCAACATGTAAAGTCTCCTGATCTTCTCTGACTGTATGTATACAACACACTCAAGAAGACTACTAGCTCCAATTATCATGTCCTAATGACACCTACCTGAGCTCTAATGTTATCCTTATTACAAATCTAGGGAATGTTCTAGATGTGGGTGCACATTCAAAGTGTAGCTCAAATCCAGGAGCTCCTCGCCCAGGTCTCTAGGTGCCTAACAACTGAGGCTTCTAAGTCCTTCTAATCAGAGACCTCTTCCTCATGCAGGCTGCCTTATCAGCAATGCCCTTGGAACTTAGATGAGAGAAGGCACATTTCTTAAAGTATCTAGATAGAGCTTGTTGAGTTTGTTTTCAGGGGAAATGGCAGACTTTTCTTTTCTTTACACACTGTTCTGTAGAAAAAACAACCACCTGTATGATCTCAACCACTTTCCTCCGGGTAGGAAGCCCTGGTAGTCATTCTCTCAACTTCATGGTTGGTCTGGCCCACCACCTCTCTGGTATTGGTTTTTTTAAAAAAATATTTTTTTTATTACTTCAGACTGGAAGTGAGAGCGATAGAAACATCAATGATGAGATAGTCATTGATTGGATGCCTCATGCACACCCCCTACTGGGGATCAAGCCGGCAACCTGGGCATGTGCCCTGACCGGGAATCGAACCCATGACCTCTTGGTTCATAGATTGATGCTCAACCACTGAGCCACACCGGCTGGGCATCTGGTATTGTTGAACCTTGAACAGGAGCTCTGCTTCCAAGTCACCGCTGTGACACTCAATAGCAGATCGGTGGCATCTTGAGAATGGAACCAATTTAAGGGTCATGATTTCTGGGATCTCTCAAGGTCTGGAATACTCTAACCAACATCCCAGTTTAGTTATGAGCAAAATTCATTTATGACAATGTCAACACTAGAATGCAAGCACCTAGGATCAAACACCTGTGAGCAGTTAATTGCATTGCATTTGTATTCTTCTTTCTATTTGCATATTTTGTGTCATTCCTAGTGTTCCCATTCTCTTTCCCAAATTTCTTTGTCTACAGTTCTATATGTCCTATACTTCAGGTCTTTCTGGGTAATCCAGGCCTTTACGACAACACCACAACCTGCATTTTATGTTCCCATAAAACAGAAGTCTGCAAAAAATCCTTAGCCTCCATACCTACCCCAGACTGAGACCAACCAGACCAGAGGCTATTTTTTTTAATCATATAGAGGAAATCCTTTATTAAGCCAATGACATGATTGGTTTTCTTCCCTCAGAAAAAAATGCTTCTCTGATATAACCACAAAGTCTCAACCCTTTGTGCTGTTGTGGAAGCTTGTTTCTTCTTGGACTGCCAAACTGTGATCGCTAACAGGAGTATTTTATGTTTTGTTCTTAGTTCTACAACCTGCTACAGAATCCTTGGTAGTTCTTTGTCATCTTCCACTGTTCACTCAAATCCCACTGACTGTCCACCATCAACCACCAGCAGCTCCCCTGGCGTGGGAGCCAGGGAAATGGAGAATTAGAGTTTCTGACAGAGAGTAAATAGCTATGATGACCTGAGACCATTCCAGCAAAAGTTTCCCAGCGAACATTCTTGTTGTTTTTAACAAATGAAAACACCAGTCCAGATCATGTCGAAGGTGAGAAAAGACACACGAATGACAGGGGTCCAGGGAGTCTGGGTCTGGCCAATGTCCTTCGAAGTGCGTGGATAATAGAAAGAGACAGTGAGGGGGCAACAGGGACTGCTTGAGCGGCAGCCCTTGGCTCGTCTGTCTTTGCTCACGAATCACCAAGTGCGAGTCCCCATTTCCCCCCCATGGACGCGCAAGCACAGGGTCCAGCACAGTCACTGCAGCAGTGTGAGAGGAAATGTAAACACTCTAGAGGTTTAAGAATGAGGGCATTGGCTCAGCTGGTGCGGCTCAGTGGTTGAGTGTCGACCCAGCAACCAGGCCACTGGTTCGATTCCTGGTTATCAGGGCACATGCCTGGGTTGCCAGCTCGATCTCCAGTAGGGGGAGTGCAGGAGGCAGCCAATCGATGAGGTCCTCTCTCATCAGTGTTTTTGTCTTTCTATCCATCTCCCTTCCCCTCTCTCTAAAAATCAATAAAAGCATATTTAAAAAAAAGAAAAGAAAGAATGGGGGCATTGGAAGGACCTGTAATAAGCTCATCGGATTCTAGACTGAACATACAAGAGAGAAAGCAATGTGTTTTTATCATTGCCGGAAGATCATCTTGCTTGTGCAAACAGCTACAGTGAAGGTTGATTTTTGAAATATGTATTCAAGGATATTGGCATCTAATCAGGAAGCATCTCATTCCTTGGAATTTGGAAGTGAGTAGAATTCACTGAGCTGCAGAATGACCAACGGGGACATGGATGCATATTTACCAAAATCATAATGCTTCAAATCCAAGGTGTTTACAGGTTTTATGGATGATTATGTGTATTATGGATGACAACTAATTGCAAGCATGAAGTTATCAACAAGCTTTCAAATAAAAACAAACCAAAATGACCTCATTAACTAGGTGCAATCATAAAATATTAGCACCAAATGAAACCGGAGAAATAGTCTAATTCAGTCCTATTATTTGATAAATGAGGTGAATAACACCTAGAAGATAATGTGACTTGCCCCAAATAACAATACCAGCTGTGGCTAAGCCAGGACTCCTAATGCTACTCCATTCTCCAGAGCAGATGACAAGTGCGTGCTGTGCATGAGAGGAGCATGGGAACATTAGGGATGTAAATAAGAAAACAACACTACTCTGGGAAAATTTTATGGGGAAGACAGGTTCTCCATCATCTATGATAATAAAAGCATAATATGCTAATTAGGCCAGACAGCCGAACAACCTTCTGAACGACCTTCCGGATGACCTTCCGGACGAAGCCAGGGCTGCAAGGGCCAAGCCCCTTGCAGGAATTTCATGCATCGGGTCTCTAGTAGTTATATAAAGAGGGTCTAAGAAAGAGGGTCCATGTGCATCACATGATGTCATTCCGATCAGAATAGCCATTAACAAATGCAACCATTCTCCTTTTTCCCCCATTGAAAACATAAGAGGAAGAAGAAGAGAAAGATAAAGATAAAAATTATGAACAACAAATACATATCTATCAACAAGTGAATCTAAAAATCAAGTGAATAAAAAATCTGATGAACAGAGTAAACTGGTGAATATAATAGAATCAGGGGCATAGAAAGGGAGTGGACTGACAATTCTC